GGAACGTGCCTTCACGCGCTTTTCAGATCATCTTTAACAATGAGTATCTGGCCTCTTGGTTGACTGACCGAAGCGATCCTGGAAGAGAACTGAAAGGATTCTTGTGATTGCTCCCCTTAGATAAAGAAGGGCTCTTTTGATCCTGGATCCAGTTACCATTTCGTGGATGGGGGCCAGGGGTCCACACTCGTGTCACGAAGCCCAACGTGACAGCGGCACCACGGAAGAGGCCACAGGATAAAAGAAAGCTGGAGTCCGGTGTGGAGTTGTTTCTAAGTGACCAGCGCCTAAAGCAATGGTCCCCGGCGTGATTCTGTTTCCACGTGGGACTGCCCTTCAAGATTTCAAAGCCCACACTCAGTCAAGAACAAGCATGCTAAAATAAAAAGTCCTTCCAGGTAAGGGCTGGAAAAAACAAAGCAAGCATCTCTTACACCAACACCCCAAAATAAAAACAAAATCATTTTATGTTTTAGAGTGACAGAGCGAGCCTCTTCTCTCTCCTAACTCCCCTTCCATCTCCTGCATCTGCGTCTCAGAAATAACGCTGTTTGTTGCTTCAGGTATGCAAGAGCGATGGCAGGGTGGGGTGGGGGTGGGGGGCACCCAGACAGCTCAGGAACAAATGACATCCTGAAAGTCACGTAATGGGTAGAGGAGAAGAAAGCGCTCCAGGTAGGAGTGTCTCCCCTTTCTCCCTCTGGTCCCTCTTCATCACCTTCCTTTTTGTCTGGTTTCCCCTTTTCAATCATTATATTGGGGGCTCTTACAGCTCGTATACCAATCAATGGTATACATCAGTGGTATCAAGCATATTTGTACATATGTTGCCATCATCATTTTACAAACATGTACTTTCTATTGGAGCCCTTGGTATCAGCTCCTCTTTTCTCCCACTCTCCCCCACCCCATGACTCCTTGATAAATTATAAATTATTATTGTCTTCATATCTTACACTGGCTGCTGTCTCCCTTCACCCACGTTCCTATTGTTCATCCTTCTGGGGGGGTCTGGGGTAGATCACCTTCCTTTGTTAACCTCTTCCATTTGATTAGTGCTTTCTCTTCTGTTTTATTCTACCTTTGGCAGCTCAATGCCCTCATTCCTGAGGGGTCTAAAACCCTACAGTCCTCTGGCAAAGTCTTGAGCTTCCGGTTGGCCCCTCCTTTGTTTTCTGAGCATCATTAGGCCTGCCTCACTCTTGTGAATGTGATTCATCTTGCCTTTTCCCTGCCTGACCTCCTCTCTCCATCCTCCTCCTGGGGTGAACAAGGAAGCCTTCCCTCCAGTTGCTCCTTATTTTCCTCTGTCCCTATGAAATGTTCTCTTTCCTAAGAGATAAGAAACTTTGCTCCTTGGAGGCTTTTCCGGGTATTCATCTAGGATGGAAGCTGCTGCTTTCAGGAGCCCTGGTTTCTGTCCGTGATCAACGAGCGTGTGGTCCACTGATCCACAGCATTCTCGTCACCGGGGAGCTTCGAAGAAGCACAGCCTCCCTGGCGCCTCATCAACTGAATGAGAATCTGCCTTTGAACCCGAGCCACAGGTGTGTCGGGTCCCCTGTTGAAGTCTGGGAAGGAAGCACTACTACAGGCCGTAATGATTTGGAAGAGGGTCAAGTCAGGACCTGAGATGTCAAAGATGGTGCTGCTGAGGAGGGGTGACATCTGAAAGGGAGGAGGTGAGATGCTCACAATAGGCTGCATGGCGTGGGGAGGGGTGCCAGTGCACAAAAGATGGCAAGAGACCTAGGGGTATTGAACAACCTGGTGTGTGGGGCTGAGCTGGCCAGGGAGAGGGCACTATTTTCAGTAGGACATCAAATTCCATAAAGAGGATGTAAAAGAGCCAAGTATCTGCCTAGAGCATTACATGACCCCATCAATATGCAAATTCTGGAACTAAGTTTCTGGGAAAGCCAGGGCCAAAGATGTAGATGCCACTAAATCTGCCAAAGTCTCTGCCCAAGATCAGATCGGGCACTTCTCTTGATCTCTTTGCTCCCTGCTAAGGGGAAGGGTGGAATTAGGAAGAATAGCGAAAGTTACAACTTGAGAATTCATAAAGCTAATCAAATTCCCTGTGAGTTGAGCCAAAGATAGGTTTTTGGTCAGGCTCCCATGATCTCAGGGACAGCAGACTGCTAATAAAATTTCCTGCTAGTCTTGTTAGCTCAGGTTCCCAAGGAGCCTGAGTTATAGGGGTAACGGGATCTCTTGCAGTATCAGACCTCCCCAAGCCCCTGCCATTGAGTCAGTTCTAATGCATAGTGACTGATATATATAGGGGCTCTGAGACAGGTAAATCTTTATGGGAGCAGACAGACTCATCAGTACAGTTATATATAATTATAATAATTATATCACATATAAAAAAGAAAAAAGTTATTATTTTGAAGTTAATAAAGAAAACCAAGGAGTTCATTGTCAAATATTCATGTGAAAGGTCATACATGAAAGTACATTATTTGCCATACAATAACTTTAAAAAGAAGGTTATTTGGATTTCATTAAATATATCCTTGGTGGCAAAGTAATTACCCACTGGGCTGATAACCACAAGGTCAGTAGTTCGAAACCACCAGCTGCTCCTTGGGAGAAAGATGAGGTTTTCTACCTCCATGAAGAGTTAGAGTCTCGGATACCCAGTGAGGCAGTTCTACCCTGTCCTATAAGGTCACTGTGAGTTGGCATCGACTCAATGCAATGAGGGTTTTTTGGGGGGAGGGAGTGCTACCTTAAGGAGAAAAGCCCTAAAAATCAAAGTCCCTGCATATTCAAACAAACTAACAAAGAGTCTCAATTTCTATCAGTGGATTGAACAAGGAGTTTACACATATTGACAAGCATCTACTTTTTAATATAATATATATGAGGGGTTTTCAAAAAGTTAATGGAGAAAAATGAAATTAAAAGACAATGGAATTGTTCCATGAACATTTTAAAACTCCTTCATACATGAAACACACTTAGCATCTCCACTTTTTCTACATGTACAATTCAATGTTGCTAATTACATTCATCATGTTGTACAAAGTTCACCACTGTTTCCAAATGTTCCCATATCTGTGAAGAGAAGCACTGAGCTTCTCTGAGCAATGAGTCCCTCTGCCTACTCCCTCCTTTCCCTGTAACCAGGGGTAATAATAAACGATGGCTACTCTTCATTTGCTTTACTTTCTGAGCACAAAGATGACCTGAAGCACTTAATGATGAAGATCCCAGGATACAGTCTTTGGTATGGATTATGCCTCAACTTAAAGGAACAGAATTCCTCACAACTGGACACAGAAGCAACATCATAATGAGCAGAAAGAAGACAAAGGGGCCAATAGTTAGTATCACTTCACTTTGGGATCAACAGTATAAGTCAATGGAAGCGGCTGTCAAGCAATCAAATGGTTTATAGCATTGGGCAAATCTGCAAAAGACCTCTTCCAAGTGTTAGAGAAGAAAGACGGCACTGTGAGGGCTAAGACACTCCTGATCTGAGCCAGGATATTTTTCATTGTCTCATAGACATGTGAAAGCTGAACACTGAATAAGGAAGAGGAAAGAATAATTGATGAGTGTGAAGTGTTGGTTTAGACTATTGACTATACTGTGGATTGCCAGAAGAACAAAGAAATCTGTCTTGGAAAGAGGATACTCAAATGTTTCTTAGAAGTGCGGATAGCAAAGCTTCAGCTCTTG